AATCCATCTGATCTATTGTGTTATTTAAGGTCTCTGTGTCCTATTTGATTTTTTGTCTGGAAGATCTGTCTAGTGATGTCAATGAGGGTATTAAAGTCCTCTATTATAACTTTATTGCTGTTAATCTCCTCTTAAAGTCATCCAAGAGCTTTTTTTTTTTTTTTTTTTTAATATATTTAGGTGCTCCTATATTGGTTGCATATGTTTACCAGGGTTATATCCTCTTGTTGTATCAATGCCTTTAGAATTATGTAGTTGCCTTCTTTTGAAGTCTGTCTCTTGAAGTCTGTTTTGTCAGCTTTTGCATTTTTTTTCCTGTTTACATTTGCATAAAAATTTTTTCCTCATCTCTTCACTTTTATTCTCTGTGAGTCATTTATTCTGAGGTGGATCACTTGTAAACAGCATATATTTTCTTAACCATTCACCTACCCTTTGTCTTTTGATTGGAGCATTTAATCTATTTACATTTAAGATTATTATTATTGAGGAGGAACCAAGATGGTGGCCTAAGTAAGCACCTAAGCTGCCGATTCACACAACAATTTAAAAAACAACAATAAAAATCAGAATGGACTTCATCCAAAAACACAGGAAAGCTGGTGGACTGGGAAATCTACAACTAGAAAGAAGGAGAGAGGCTCACGGATTGGACTGGGAGCTGCGAAGTGCTGAGGTAGCGTGACACTCGTGTGTGCAGAGAGGAGGTGTGGCCTAATGCCTGGCTGGCAGGAGGGGAGGGATTCCCAATTGCACTGAACTCTTTCCGACTGTACTGAACCCCGACCCCGGCTGAAACCCCGTGAACCCAGGTTCATATGGGTGGAGTCTGGACTGTAGAGAAAGGCACCTGGAGACTCAGAGACTGGGAGACTGGTGGAGCCAGGAGCTGCAGCGGGCAGGGTCTACAGTCGCACAGTGTGAAAGTGAGCATGTGCAGAAGTCTGACCGTGGAGATTGCCACAGCCTCTCCATAGCAGAAGGAGTCAGAAGTTCCAGACTACAGAGACCCAACCCAATTCCGGGCAAGCTCCTGGGGCACCCACGCTGTTGACAGGGAATCTGGGACGGTCAGGCGGAAACTCAGGAGAGCTGCGCAAGATAGAGGTCAGACGGAAACTCAGGCAAGCGTACAAGGGCAGGCTGATGGGAAGCCAAGACTGTCAGCTCAGCCCCGAGACTCCGCCGTATCCAAGCTGAGCACAGAGGCTTCTGCAATTTTGCAAGTTTGATCCTATAAGACTATCTCCAATACAGAAGGTATCCCAGAGTAGATGCTACCCACATCCAATTGGCCTAAAGGTCAGTTCCTCCCAGGGATACCAACAGCAATAAAGACAGCTATAACAGGGCTGTACACACAGTCCACAAAGGGGAGCACCAAGAGTGTCTACCTGAGGAGGCTGACCCACTGAGCCATATAGGACACCAAATACACAAAGCCATCCAGGAACTCTGGGAAGCAGCAAAAATGCCAAGACAAGGAAATAGATCTCAAACGAAAGAGATGGAGGATATAGTTTAAAACCACAGTTTTAAGGTTATGTAAGAATATCCTAGAAAAGGCCGATAAATTTCATGAGACCCAACTAAAAATTAATCATAAACTGATTTCGGCCGGGGTTGGGGTTCAGTACAATCGGAAAGGGTTCAGTGCAATCGGGGACTTCCTCTCCCCTCCCGCCAGCCAGGCATTCGGTCGCACTTCCTCTCTGCGCAGAAGTCATCCTACCTCAGCGCTTTGCGGCTCCCAGTCCGATCCGTGAGCCTCTCTCTTTCTTTCTAGTTGTAGATTTCCAACTTCGCTAGCTTTCCTGTGTTTTTGGATGATGTCTGTTCTGATATTTTATTTATTTTATTTTATTTTATTTACTTTATTTTATTATTTTATTTTTTATTTATTTATTTATTTATTTATTTATTTATTTATTATTTTTTCTTTCTGTTCTGATTTTAGTTGTTTTTAAATTGTTGTGTGAGGTGGCAGCTTAGGTGCTTATGTAAGCCACAATCTTCATGTTGTGTACCTTGTTCTGTTGAAGAAATACTTTATAGATAATTCCGTGTACTTTATCTTGTATATAAATGTATGGTCTCATTTGAAAGATACCTCTCTAAAACAAATCCCTTTCATTTTTACCAATTTACATCTTTTTTTTAAAATATAGTGTGGGTAGAGATTAAGCATATAAAATTTTATCATAGTGTTTAGTTGTCAAATTCCATTCATCCATAAAAGTACAATTTAGGCATTTATCAACATTAGGTGTCTGTAATTTTCTATTTTGCATGAAATGTCATTCAAGAAAGTGATAACCAAAACTACTAATAGGAAACCAATGAAAAGCTTTAAAGAGAAAATAGATTATATCGGCTGTTAGATGACAATAGGATTGAAGGGACAAAGAAGTGGATGTTAGAAAATAATTAGAAAACTCTTATGTAGTAAAATAAGGTAATGTAACTTGCAATTAGGTGAAATAAGATAGTAACTTGAATTACAGTTGTGGCTATGGAATTAGAAGGCAGCTATGCTCACCACTATACCACCAACGCAACTTGAATGGTGGCTATGGAATTAGAAGTGTTCTATTTAGAAAATATTTAGGAGGTAAAAGAAATGAGACTTTATAATAGATTCAGTATAAAGGTTGGATTGTCCAGGTTGATTTCCAGGTTTCTGACTTTTGCAACTGGTTTAATGTTGGTAGCATTTATTCGAAGTATATTGGAGGAGATACGGGTTTTTAGCCTCCTTAATTTAATAAGTTTTTTTTTTTTTTTAGACAAGTTGATTTGAGGTATCAAAATGGATGCATCTGGAAAACATTGATATAAGGGACTCACCTTTTTAAAATTTTTCTATTTTACAAATTGACATTAATATATTTATGCAAAACACACACAAAGAGGAAAGTAAATATTACCTCAGTTACTATAATCTGTTCATATATTTTTAAAAATTCTTCAATATGTTTATTTTTCTCTTTAAAAAATATGGTTTATTGATTTATTTTTAGAGAGAGAAAGGGTGAGAGAGAGAACATTGATGTGAGAGAAACATTGATCAGCAGCTTCCCACATGCACCCTGACTGGGCATGTGCCATAATTGCACAGGAAACGCTTGATGAGCCACACCAGCCAGGGCACTCTATTTCTCTTTCAATGTTAATTCACATAGAAATGTTTTATATAAATGGGATCTTATTACATCTGCTCTTTTGTAACCTGTTTTTATCACCCAAAATAAGCCATTATAATAAGTATAGATGCCATTATCATTTCTAATGTTTATATATGTACCTTAAATTTATTTAACTATTTAAGGTTCGGAGTGTATGTTTGTCTAGATTGATCTCCTTAAAATACTAGATGTGCTAGCCCTAGCTGGTTTGGCTCAGTGGATAGAGCATCGTCTTGTGGACTGAAGGGTCCTGGGATCGATTCCCAGTCAGGGCACACATCCTGGTTGCAGGTTAGACTCTAGTAGGGGGTGTGCAGGAGGCAGCCAATCAATGATTCTCTCTCTTCATTGATGTATTCATCTCTGTCTCCTCCCCTCCTCTGAAATAAATAAAAATATTTTTTAAAAAATGTTAGATGTGCTAATAATGTAGAATCAATGAATTGTAGGCAATTTCATCATGAGAACATCATGGGATATACTTACAGAAACTTAGAGGTATAGACTACTACATATGTAGGCTAAGTGGTATAAGGTACCACTCTTAGACTGCAAACTTGTACAACATATTATACTGAATACTGTAGGCGATGGTAACACAATGGTAAGTATTTGTGTATATAAACATAGAAAAAGTATGGTATAAAAGATTTAAAAATGGTACACTCATATAGGGCACTTGACATGAATGGAGCTTACAGGACTGGCAGTTGCTCTATGTGAGTCAATGAGTGGTGAATGAGTGTGATGGCCTGGAGTATACTGGGCACTGCAATAGACTATAAATACTGTACACTTAGGCCTCTCTAAATTTATAAAAAAAATTTCTTCAATAATATAATAAATTAAGCTAACTATAACATTTTTACTTTTTATAAACTTTATTTTTTTAAACTTTTTGACTTTTCTGTTAACACTTAACTTAAAACACAAACACACTGTACAACTGCACAAAATATAAATTCTTATTCAATAAGCTTTTTCTCTATTTTTCCTTTTTTCCTTTTTTCCTTTTTTTCTTTTTGCTTTTAAACTATTTCATTTAAAACTAAGAAACACACATTAACCTCTGCCTGCACAAGGTCAGGATCATCAGTGTCACTGCCACCACATCTTGTCCTGCTGAAGGCCTTCTCCTATGATGACAAGCACACCTCTTCAATGTCCTGCCTGGGGCTCATTTTGAGGAGGTGTCACTCTTTTCAGAAATATGTCCAGGGTGGTTTGCTTTTTTTTTTTTTTTTCAGCATAGATTTTCTTGTAAGCAGATAATACACCATTAACATTCCTCTATATTAATAAAAATCCTTCCCTGAGTTTTCCTGGAGGTTCTTATTTTTCTTCAGCAGTTTTCCTTTCTCTTGCCCTTCTGCTGTGTATTTCTCTTCTAGTTCCAACAACTCCTCTTCAGTCAGTTCTTCAGGAACCCTCTCTTTAAACTCCTCAAGGTCATCCTCATCCACTTCAGGTTCAAGTTGTTTTCCATCTCAGTCAGAGCAATCTTTTGTACTGAAATCTCATGATGGCTATGAAGTCACTAGGTGGTAGGGATTGTGTAGTTCTGTTAATGATAATCTCATGAGACCATCATTGTATATGAGATCTATCATTGACTGGAACATTTTTGTGTGGCACATGACTATATTTAAAATTTCAAATACATATCTCCATATTGTATTGCATGTCATTTTAAAGTAATTTTTGTTAGAGAACGCTTTTTTTTTCTTCTTTTGGAAAAATAAATTTTGGAAAATTATGGTAATTGGTTTCAGATATCTAAAAAATTCTGTTCTTTTATATTTTCCATAATTTTAGCTTTTGCCCCTGATGACAGAGCAACTACAGTGGATGCCATTTGTGAATGCCAAACTTCATGAGCCTTTTGTAAAATTTATATATTGGTCTCTACGGCAACTAGAAGCTGGAACACTGGTAATTTATTAATAGGAACCTATTTTCAACTACTACTCTGTTGGCATTATTTTTCTTGATGTTCTTTCACTTTTTTTGCATGTATTTTGTTTATATTTCAGGACTTCTCCTTGCTCCCCTTGCCTCATTTACTACTTTCTCTTCTTTCTCTTTTCATATGTCTTATTTCTCAATGCCTTAGATGTGGCTCAATATGTAATGCTTTGTTTTGAGTTTCAGAATTGTATAAATAAGGAGTTAAAATCAACTGTCATTCCCCCATTATTTAATTTATAATTTTTTATATTCCATTGAAGCTAATAGAAATTAATGATTGTGCTTATGCTAACACGTTTTTTGCGGAAACGAGTAAACTCGTCATATCGCTTTTTATACTAAAGCGCGGGAGACGAGTTAACTTGTTTTGTTCCGCTAAGCGGTGGGGCGCGGGAAATTTGTAAACAAGGGCGCCAAACGGGTGACGGACTACGCATTATCTATTGTCAGCCGTACCTATGAGTCTACCTGCCGATACAATAAATTTGGGCGTGACCTGACGTGACCCGGAGAGGAGCTTCTGCCTCAGGACGCCTGGTCCCGGGGGACGGGCCGAGGGACGGCGCCGCCGCACAGGCCTCCCCCAGGGCAACACCGCGGCCCGCAGGACGCCCCCTGCCTCCGTGCATGACGGGCCGCCCAGCCGTCCGTGTACACGCACACACGTGCACTCCTGCGCACACACATGCACACCCGAAGCCAGGCAGGTGGCCGTCTGTTTCTCCTTTTTTTTCCTCCTAGAAACCGGAGAAACGGATTTTTTAGAGCCACTTCTCCCGATATTTAATACTTCTCCGCGCGCCGGGGCTGCCTCCCCCGGAACGCAGCGGCGGTGGCAGCCCGCAGAGGCAGCGTGTATTTTTCTAAGAAGTAAAGGATCTTCACAGACAAAAAACAAAACAAAACAAAAAGCAATAAATTTGGGCCCAAACAAAAACAATAGCCATAAAAATAAATAGCAGTAAGTGGAAAGATATCACTGTGAAAGAAATGAAGTTTTTGGGGCTTGCAAGGACCGACGAGATGATTATTGGAGCACAGAACCGTGGATGGAGACACCCTTTTTTCCAAAAACGATGAGTAGAGACAGATTCCGTCAAATATAAGAGGGCCTGGCATTTCAACAACAACGAAAATGTGCAAGACAACTCAGATAGACTTTGCAAAGTCAGACCATTATTGGATTTCTTTCTTACCAAATTCAAAGTTTACAAGCCTATTCAGCAGTTGTCTTTAGATGAAGGCATAGTACCTTGGAGGGGAAGATTATTCTTCAGGGTTTATAATGCAGGAAAAATTATAAAATATAGGATTCTGGTGCATATGGTATGCAAAAGCAATACTGGCTACATATGCAATTTCAAAATTGCGGTGAAGGAAAGATTAATCGAAACAATTCAAACAGTAGTATCTCTTTATACAGATTTATGGCACCATGTATACATGGATAATTATTAAAATAGTGTTCAAAACAGCAAGATACTCTTGGGGAAAAAAAATCAGAATTTTCGGTACCATACGGAAAAATAGAGGACTTCCGGATTGTCTAAAAGGTTTCATTGAAAAATGGTGAAACAACTTTCAGAAGGAAAAAGGATATTTTGCTGCAAGTCTGGCAATCAAAAAAGACAGTGTTTCTCATATCCAGCATTCACTCTTCTGAGATGAGGGAGAGTCAAAACATCGATAGAAGGACAAGACAAAAATTATAAAGCCAAATGCTCTGATCAATTATAATCGATACATGAAAGGCATAGACTGGGCGGATCAGTACTTGTTGTATTATTCAATTTTACGCAAAACGGCTAAATGGACCAAAAGAATGGCTATGTACCTTATAAATTGTGCCTTATCCAACTCATTTGTAGTATATAATTCGGTTAATTCGGCTAACAAAAAGAAATATCTAACTGATGAACTTTCAATAGATGAACCAGCCGAACCTGTCCCATCGACATCAAGGAGCAAGGGTTGCAAATCGGATCCACCCGGGAGACTGTCAATGGACATGAGGAAACATACATGGAACCTCTAGTCTGAACCGGCAAAAATAAAAATGTATTACGTCGTTGTCGTGTGTGTGCCGCTCATAAACTACGCAGTGAAACGCGGCACATGTGCAAGTTTTGTAATGTACCCCTGCACAAAGGAAAGTGTTTCGAATGCTACCACACAGTGAAGCACTATTAGGTTATAGTTTTTGTTTTTGTTTTTATAAGATCTGTTGAAAATTTTGAAAAAATATTGTAATTTTGTATAAATAAAATTATTTTGATTGTGAAAGTGTTTTTTTTCTATGTTTACCTAGAATGTAGTAATTTTGTGTACATGAAAAATAGAATAGCACATATTTTGCAAAGTAAATAAATAAGAGACCTCTTTTTAAACTAAAACACTGAAAGTTTCATAGAAAAATATCAAATAGATCGAAAGATATGAATATTTTACGGAAAGTCTAATTTTGGCGAGAAAATGTCAAAAAAGCTCCGCGTTACGATGTGATTTGATGGGAAAATGCCCGATTACAAAATACTAGTAAATACACTAGCTAAATGGGATGATAAATTTTAGGGTAACCTAATCAAAGAATAAATTTTTTGCAGCATCTTATAAAATGAATGGTATGTTACCTACTCATATAAGGGTCATTTAATCCAAATTATGACATGTATATATAATCATTAGTGCACACTGTAGTAAGTTTGTAAATCTCCCCCCTCCGCCCTATTACTATGAATAAATGTTATAGCTTTCATTTAGTTAAAAAAAGAGAACAAATTTGTGCATATGTAGTTTAATCTTAGCTGTGTGGAATTGAAGAAGCACACAGCTAAACCACTCAGTGCAGTATTGAGGATTAAGTAGCATTAACCATCAGTGATTGAGTTGCATGATAATTAAATAATGTGATGGTTAAGGTTAAGGAAACATATTTTTTTCTGAGATTGTACATGAGTAAGTACATGAGTAAGTAAATAAATAAATAAATAAATAAATGGTCCCCCTCAGAACCTAAGTAAGTACATGAATATTTATGTTAGTGTGTACACACACACACACACACACAATATATATATATATATATATATATATATATATATATATATATACATACACACACATAACTTTTAATTTATTGGTCTTAATTATGTCTTACCATACAAAGATATGTAAATGACAAGATCTATACCAGGTGTACCGGTTAATAGTGGCAGATTTTGTATTCAAAGAAAACACGATAATTTCAAGAGAAACATCAAAAGTGGTTTATTCAAAGTAATGTCCATTGCTAGCTATACATTTCCTCCATCTTTAAGGTAATTTGCCTCAAAACATGGTAAGTTCTATTGGGATGGATACCATCCCAATAGAACTTACCATGTTTTGAGGCAAATCATTCAGAGACCCAATTTTCCACTTCTTACATTTTGAATTGCTGCTCTGAAAGTACGTGTGCCATCTATCTGAACAAGTGCAAAAATAAAAAAATCCTATCTAATAAAGAGGGACTATGTTAATCGACCCTCACACAATTGCAAAGATGGCAGTGCCCACAGCCAGAAAGGAGGGAATATGCTAATTGACTACACCTCCCTCAAAGATGGCACCTACAGCCAATTAGGAGGAAATATGCTAATTGACTGCCTCGCCCTCAAAGATAGTGGACCCATAACCAATAAGGAGGTAATATGCTAATTGACTGCCATGCCCTCAAAGATGGCAGGGCTCAGTCCCTCAGCCATGCTGGGATGGCCAGCCTGAGGCACAGGCAAGCCTTGGTTGGTGGCCGCCCAGCTACCCAGAACTGCCTGAGACTCAGGTAACGAGGGCTGACCAAGGCTTGCACTGCAGGCAGTGGCATTAGCAGAGATGCGATGCGTCGCCTTCCCCTGATCCCTCGAGCACTTCCTGTCCCTGAGGGCTCCTGGACTGTGAGAGGGGGCAGTCCTGGCTGAAGCAACACCCCATCCAGTGCATGAATTTTCATGCACTGGCCTCTATTCTTTTTATATTAACCATCATTTAATTGGATTATTTATTTTTTTGGTGTTGAGTTATAAATTAATCCCTTAGCAGTTCTATCATCTCCTTACCTTTTGTCTGTATGTGTCTTAGGTTCTGAGGGGGACCATTTATTTATTTATTTATTTATTTATTTATTTATTTACTAGAGACTTGGTGCATGAACTTTCTCCCTCCCCATCTTCTCCCCTCCCTCCCACCTTCCCCACTTAGCATTTTTTGCAATGCAGGTTTGGTGGAAGTAATCTCTTTTATCCTTTTTTGTCTGTTAAGCTCTTTATTTCACCTTCAATTTTTGAAAGATGGCCTTGCTGGATAGAGTAATCTTGGGTTCAGTCCCTTGGTTTTCAGTATTTTTTATACTTCATGCCACTCCCTTTTGGCCTGAATTGCTAAATCAGCTGAGGTCTAATGGGAACTCCCTTGTAGATAACTTTTAAAAAATATATATATATTTTATTGATTTTTTACAGAGAGGAGGAGAGAGGGATAGAAAGCTAGAAACGTCGATGAGAGAGAAACATCGACCAGCTGCCTCTTGCACACCCCCTATCAGGGATGTACCCGCAACCAATGTTCATGCCCTTCAGTCCCCAAGCCGACGCTCTATCCATTGAGCCAAACCAGTCTCGGCCAATGTACATGCCCTTGAATGGAATCGAACCTGGGACCTTTCAGTCTGCAGACCGACTCTCTACTACTGAGCCAAACCGGTTTCGGCAGTTGTAGGTAACTTTCTTTTTCTCTCTTGTAACCTTTGAGATTGTTTCTTTGTTTTTAATGTTTGCTGTTTTAATTATCATGTGCCTAAGTGTGGGCCTTTTGGGGTTCATATTGACTGGGACACTGTGTTTCATGTTCTTGAGTGAATTTTTTCTCCACCAGGTTAGGGAAGTTTTCTGCCATTGTTTCTTCACACAGGATCTCTGTTCCTTTCTTAG